GAAAATGTCAGGCCCGGCTGGTTGATGTCAAACTATGAACCAGGAGGTCACGGCTCAATTCCCCAGTCAAGGCACATGCCAACTTGTGAGCTTGATCCCCAGTAGGGGGTGTGCAGGAGACTCATCATTGATGTTTCCATCTCTCTCCCTCTCTCTCTTCCTCTCTGAAATCAATATTTCATGTTTCTACCCCACGAGAATGGGTTTTCCTTTTCTACCCAAAGAAAATGTTAGGATGTAGATTCGTAAAAATATCAACAGTGGTTATTTCTGAATGATTATATGGGTAATTAAAATGTTTTGTACTTGTGAATATTTTCTAATCTTTCTGAAAAGAGCATGTATTAATTGTGAGCATAATGGGGAAAAACAGAAGCCCCACCCTAGTACTCCTGATACTTACTGTGCCTGCCTCTTTCAATACCCCATTAAGCAATAAGTGCACTGAGGGCCACTATGATAAATTATTCAATATCATTCTCCCAGGGCCTGGTTCAGAGTAGAAAATACTTGATGAGTACATTATAACAATAATTATTGAGCATTTCCTGTGTCTTACCTATTGTTTTAAGCTTTCGACATGTTAACCTAATCCTCTTGAGATGGGTACTACTATCTCCATTTTGCACATGAAACAGGCTTCAAAAGTTAACCACCTTTTATGTGAGGCCACACAGCTGTAAACAGCAGTGTGGGGATTTAAACTCATGCAGCCTGGCTTTCACTTAGAGACATAAGATAGTATCCTGGTTTGCAGTTAGATTGTATCTCTGATTGAGATACAATTAGATTCCATGTCTGGGATTCTAGCTGAACAATTAGGCATCAGTTGAATCATGGTCGGAATAAAAAGGCAGAATTTGACACCCACAGATCTGAACCAAATGCCAGGCAAGTAATCTTTGTTTCTCTGCCATTAAAACACACACACACACATACACACACACACACACACACACACATCTTAAATCATTTTCCACTGTAAACTTCTCATTGAAATTGGTGCCACCTCTTGGGGTTTAGCTTTGTTAGTGCTCCCTCACTCTGCTATTCCTATCCCTTCAAAACTTAAACTCAAAGACTAAAGTTTATAATAAGTTCTTTAACTCTTCTTCCTAGTACTTTTCTTTCTTGGTAAGATTTCTTATGACAAGTTCATCACATTTCATTTTTAAAACTTATCAGTCTTAATTTTTGCCTTATCTTCTTTTTCCTTCATATGTTGTTGTTTTTTAAGTCAGAGTTTCTGAAAGCTACATTTCTGTTATCTGCAACTACACTATTTAGTATGGTAGCCACTAGCCACATGTGGCTTTTTAAGTTAAAATTAACTAGAATGGGCAAAAGACTTAAACAATGCTTCTCCAAAGAAGGTATGGGGCTGGTTGATAAGCACAGGAAAAGATGTTCAACATCATTAGCCATTGAGGAAATGTACATTAAAGTCACAATGCACTAACACTACACACGATTAGAATGGCTAAAATAGAAAATACTGACAGCTCCAAATGCTGAAGAGGATGTGGAATCAACTGTCTCTCTCATACAATTGCTAGTGGGAATGTGAAATGGTATAGCCAATCTGGTAAAATTTGGCAGTTTCTTAAAAGATATGTTTACCCTACAATCCAGCAGTCACAATCCTGTGTATTTACCTCGAGAAATGAAAATTATGTACACACTAAAAGCTGTGCACTAATATTCAAAAACTGGAAACAACATAAATATCCTTTAATGGATGAATGACTAAACAAACTGAGATATATCCACACAATAGAATACTCAGCAATTAAAAGGAATGAAGTATTGATACATGCAGTAAAGTGAATGACTGTCAAAATCATTGTGTTAAGTGAGAGAAGCCAATCTTAGAAGCTTACATCTGTGTAATTCCATACATAAAACATTCTTGAAATGTCAAGATTATAATGGTGGAGAACAGATCAGCAGTCACCAAGAATTAGGATTGTGATAACCGTGTGACTACAAAAGGGTAGCATGAGGGGTTTTTCAGAGGCAGTAGGACAGTTTATATCCTGTTTGTGTTAGCAGTTACTATAAAAGGAAGGGACGAAGGATGAAAAAGGAAAGAGTGAGTGCATGTAAAGCTGGTGCTCAGATTATATTACCAACGTCAATATCCTGATTTTGATCATTGTACTATGGTAATGTAGGGGAAACTGGGGCAAGGGTACACCAGAACTCTTTCTATACTATTTTTGCAACTTTTTTCTGATTCTAAAATAATTTCAAAATTAATTTTTTAATTAAATAAAATTAAAATTCAGTTCTTCAGTTACACTATTCACTTTTAAAGTGCTCAATAGTCCCATGTCTATCAGACAGCACAGACATAGAATATTTCCAACCCAGAAAAGTTTTATTGGGCAGTACTGGTCAAAAAGCACATGTCTGACTTTAGCCAGTGTTCTCTCTTCCTGGACTATTTCAAATTCTAATATTACACAATTACTTTCTTATATTTTCTGTCATGTTATCAACCAGTTGTTTTATTTATATTCAAACCTAGATAAATACTTCCCTTTAATTTCTCAAATTTTATAGAAATAAAATAGGTTTATGCCAATTTAGGAATTTATCTGATGCCTTTTAATAGGTATCTGGATATTTAAATTTTCCCTGGATCAGTTTTATCACCTGTATTGTCTATCACCTGTATCACCTGTATTAGGATATAGTCCTAATATTTTTCATTCACTTATCCAGTGGTCGGCAAACTGCGGCTCGTGGCTCATACCGACTTCTGCGCATGGGCCACGAAGTTTCAATCGCACTGTACATGCGCGCCTGCACATGGTATTTTGTGGAAGAGCCACACTCAAGGGGCCAAAGAGCTGCATGTGGCTCGCGAGCCGCAGTTTGCCGACCACTGACTTATCCTAATATACTTTCTTGACAGTATCATTTTTGTTTTCTTTGCCTTTTTATCCTTACCCAAAGCGCTTTCAAAATCTTGGATTTCTGAAAAGGTTTATAGTTTTTTATGTTTGGTGCAATTTCTTCCCTGTCTTCTGGATGTGCATCTTTTAAGACGGTAATTCCTTTAATTGCCATGTTCTAGTCTTTTGTCCCATAACACTGTTCTTCTTTGGCTTCTTTGTATTTTTACTTAAGAATTACTGGGCACTTCCTTTACTCTGGAACTTCTTTCTGCTTCAGCTTCACCCATCCTGCATGCTGTCTAGTTTAATGAGTCATAAAGGAAGTGGAGGATGAGACATAGCAACGAAGTTAAGACACTAAAGGACGAGAAGAATGATGGTAACCTACCTGAAGAAAACCACAAGGAGAGAAATAAGGGAATATTGTTGGAATAAAACTACATAAGACAACAGTAATTACAATAGTGTAAGACTGGCACAAAAACAGAGTAATCATTGGATCCAAAAAGCCAGGAAATTAACCAGTATAAAAATTCAACAAAAGAAAGGGTTCTTCATGAATTAATTGCATTAATGCATTAATTGAATCTATATTTACTAAGTCTCTAATGCCTAAATGATCAATAAACAATTTACCAAAGAAGAAAGAAAATAAGCAAAAACAGTTTTCTAGGATTAAAGAAATAAAAATGAAAGCAGTGAAGTTCTGTTTCATTATTAAATGGGTAAAAGCTTTATTGTTGAAACATCAATACTATTGATGGTGCATTGGTGCTGTTGATCTTCTTTACTGTCATCATCTCCTTGCTTTCATTGCCTAACTGCATCATTCTTGATACAGTAGTATCACACATTCTGTCCCTCAGCAAACCATTTGAAATATATACTACATCTAAACATCTCCATTGTTATTCTCCTGGTCCAAGTCCCCTCGTCTTCTTGCCTAATTTATTGTAATAGCCCCTATCTTTCCCCCCTGCTTATCTTGCTCCTCTACAATCTCCTCTGAACACGATAGTCAAAATTACTAATTTAAAATGTAAGTCTGTTCATGTCATTCCTCTGCTCACTAGTCATCAGTTGTTACCAAGCTTGCTCAGAGTAAAGCCAAATTCCGCACAGTAGACTACAGACCCTGCATTTTTTAGATTCCCACCTTTCCTTTCTGACCTCATTGCCCACACTGCCCCCCTTGCTTTCTCTGCTCCAGTCACTTTAGCCTCCTTGTCATTTTAGTAAATCAAGCATGCTCCCACCTCAGGGCCTTTGCACTTAATGGTTAACCTGCCTAGTATGATTTAACCCAAAATACCTCCTCTCTTCTTTCAGGTCTCTGTTAATGAGTTAGTGAGGTTTTCCCTGACTGCTCTTTATAACACAGCATCCTCCCTTCCTTTCTAAACACTTTGCCCCACTTTCTTTTTCTCCATAGCACATATTACCATCTAAGTTATATGTTTAAGCTCCATATTCATAGCATTTAGCAAGTGCCTGGCACTCAATATTTACTGAGTGAATACATTGATACATTGATTGAACCTTTTTGGAAAGCGACTACAACATGATTTAGAAGCCTTTTTTTTTTTAAGAGAACAATTAAGTAAATTTTATCCTCTTGATGGAGAGAGAGAGAGAGAGAGAGAGCGCTGCATATGGCGGGATTTGAGAGTCTGGGATCAAGAACAGTAATGAAGATTTGTTTGTTTTTCTTTCTTAATAAGAGAAGAGAGGATGATGGGAGAATAATTTCCAAGTATAGAAGAAGTTGTAGATCAAGAACAAGTATTTGTGTTGCCAAACAAGTACTTTGATGGAAGTACTTGTTAGTTTCATGTAAAGTGGTAAGGAGTGTGGGATAAGAAATACCAACTGGGAGGCAGTTGTAACAAGGCAGAGTTGAGGTAATACTTCTCTAAGTAGTAACAAGTGTAGGGTTTGATGAAATAAAGGCATGAATCAAAGATCAGCAGTCAGTGATATGGCAAATAATAAGGCTTGATAATTAACTACATAAGGATGCAAAGAAGAGGAAATAAAAGGTTCTCTCGGTATTAAAATATCATATTTCCTTTTAATTATTTTCTTTTTTCTTTACAGGTTTTTTTCTCATTCACAGAAAAATGGATCATTTAAACCTTTGGAGGACTCAGTTATCACAACACTTTTATACTACCAACTAAGATTTACGACAATAAATTTATGACAGTAAATTTCTGCATCATAGAATTGCTGAAGAACAGTTAATATAAAAAAGGATATTTTTTATAAAAATACTCCTATAGTATCATGATATTACTAAATAAAACAAAAAAGCACAATTATTAAATTATTAGACTTGCTACTACAAGCACATATGTGCAATAGCTACTGTATCCTTACAGTTACCAAACCTCAAATTTGGATGGTTTCCCTTTGTGGGAAAGGTTGTTATAATTGCAAGAAACCACTGAACATTGTCAAATATATTTTCAGCTGAGTGTCATTTAGGAGTATTTACTTGAAACAAGTTCTAGAAAATTCCAAGTCCCACCACTAAGTGGATTTAATATTATGGCAGCAACTTACAGACTTGTGGTTAGTACTGTGAACCACTACAGCAGTGTGGTGATAGACCGGCGTTTTGAGCAAGCTGTACATTATTGCACTGGAACCTGTCACACCTTCGCACATGGAGTTGACTGCATTGTGGTACATCGTAGTGTCTGTGCAGACTTACACATCCCTGTGTCTCAGTTCAAAGATGTGGATCTGGACTCCATGTTTCTACCCCACGAGAATGGGTTTTCCTCAACTGAAAGTGACTATCCCCATCAGGCCCTCGCAGGCATACCCAGGGTCAAGAAAGGAACTACATTTCAGAATACCTGTAACTTAAAGGACATTGCAGGAGAAGCAATCAGTTTTGCCAGTGGGAAAATAAAAGAATTTTCCCTTGAAAAACTCAAAAACTCTAACCATGCAGCTTACAAAAAGGGAAGGAAAGTTAAGTCTGACTCATTTAATAGGAGGTCAGTTGATTTTGACTTGCTCTGTGGCCATTATAACAATGATGGGAACTCATCATCCTTTGGTTTACTCCGGAGTTCCTCAGTTGAGGAAAAATCTTTGTCCCATAGAAACTCACTTGATATGAACCTGACTTCGATGTTTCTTCACAACTTCTCTGAAGAAGACCTGGTTACTCAGATTTTGGAGAAACATAAAATAGAAAATTTTTCTTCTGGAACAGATATAAAGGTGTGCTTGGACATCTTGCTGAAATGCTCTGAGGATTTGAAAAAATGCACAGACATTATAAAACAATGCATAAAGAAAAAGTCAGGGAGTAGCATCAATGAAGGAAATGGTAATGATGCAGTTTCTAGCTCTGAAATTGTCTATATGAATGTAATGACCAGGTTAGCATCCTATCTGAAAAAGCTACCATTTGAATTCATGCAATCTGGGAATAATGAGGCTATAGATTTAACAGAACTGATCAGTAATATGCCTAGTTTACAACTGACTCCCTTCTCCCCAATATTTGGCACTGAGCAGCCCCCTAAATATGAAGATGTTGTCCAGCTCTCAGCCCCTGACCCTGGACAGTTTCAAACTATAGAATTACAAGATGACAAGCATAGTTCTAGGAAAACAGACACTGTAAAATCCATTCCAAACAACTCTACAAATTCCTTATATAACTTAGAGATAAATGATCCCAGAAGTCTAAAAGATGTCCAGCTTCAGTCACGGTCATTAACTGTGAATGCTTTAGGAAATGTTTCTTCTGGTGACCTAATGGAAACCCTTTATATTGAAGAAGAGTCAGATGGAAAGAAAGCAGTAGGTAAAGGACAAAGGACAGAGAATGGACTCAATCAGGAATTGTTGAAGGTAAATGAAGATAGAGCAGAATTTTCAGACCATGGTAGTCATCTTAAAAAATGTCCTGCCTCAGGACAAAATGAAATTGGTAAGATATTTGAGAAAACAGTAGTTAATCTACCTAAGGAAGATCTTAAGTCAAAAGTTCCTAAAGGTGAAGAGGAAGACAACAGAGATTTTATGAATTCTAACAGTAAGGAAGAGATAGATAAGTTGTTAATGGATTTGGAATCTTTTTCACAGAGAATGGAGACCTCTCTAAGAGAGCCACTTGCCAAAGGTAAAAACTCTAACTCTCTAAATAATCATGGTCAGTTGACTGATCAGCTCCCTGTGAACCTTGAGCCTAAATCTAAACTCTCTTCACCCATGGAAAAAGTATCACCTTCCTGTCTAACAAGGATCATTGAAACCAATGGACACAAAATAGAGGAAGAGGATCGAGCCCTCTTGCTACGAATCCTAGAAAGCATTGAAGACTTTGCTCAAGAACTAGTTGAATGCAAATCAGGCAGAGGGAGCTTATCACAAGAAAAGGAAATGATGCAAATTCTACAGGAAACCTTGACAACTTCTTCCCAGGCCAATTTATCAGTCTGTAGAAATCCTGTTGGTGATAAAATGAAAGATACTACTTCAGTGGTTTTGATACAGCAGACTCCAGAGGTGATCAAGGTAAGACCCAACAATTTTTGAGTCCTGAAAGTCTCCAAAGAACTGTTTTAATGTTTGTAAAATTTATAAACAAAAACTATTTTTGTTACCCATTCTCTGTTCTAAATTTCCTACCCTACTCTAGGCATGCTCTCACTTAGTTCAGTGGGAAAAACTAAAAAGCAAAGGCTATAAAGTCAAGCAAACTGGTTTCAGCTGCCCTTCCCACCCCCTTCATCTTCCTAACTCTGTGACCAAAGGAAAGTTACTTAGCCTTAATATCCTCATTTACATAATGGAAATAGTAAGGATCACGACAACATGTGAAGCACAGCCAAGGTGCCTTAAACAAAGTGGGCATTTAATATTAGTTCTCATCCTCCCCAGTCAAGCAGTAGACCATTCATTACTACATGCCTGTGTAGACTATTAGGTGCAGTTTGGGATACAAAAGAAAAGAAGTTAGTTAGAGCATCATCCTATGTACCAAAAGGTTGTGGGTTTGATTCCGAGTCAGGGCACATACTTAGGTTGCGAAAACAAAATGTAACAGTACGTGAACATGTAGGGCACTACTCTGAAAGTATTGTTAGTTCTATCGATCTTCAAAGAAGGTAAAGACTAGAGTATATGAAATTTGCTTCTTTTTTCCCCCCAATATATTTGTATTGATTTCAAAAAGGAAGGGAGAGGGAAAGAGAGATAGAAACGTCAATGATGGAGAACCATTATTGATCAGCTGCCTCCTGCACGCCCCCTACTGGGAATCAAGCCTACAACCCTGGTATGTTCCCTGACCAGGAATCGAACCATGACCTCCTGGTTCATAGGTCTAAGTTCAACCACTTAGCCACACCAGCTGGGTGAGATTCGCTTCTTTATGCAAGTGGGAATAAATACCACTCTAGAGTCATAGGATAGAAGTATTTTCAAAAGGCTTTGAATCTCCCTCGCTACTGACAGCACTGCTTTTGAATATTCCTAGAAAAAATCTCATTTGTGTTTGTTTTAGCATAACAGGATTACTTCTTATTCATTTTGTATGTCCAACATGGGTTAACTAGAAACTCTGCTCCCCCTCACTCAAGGACCCAGGCTGATGGATGCTTCATGTTCCTTCAGCTGCCCTATGGCCCCATCTGGAATATGTGGCTTATGAGTTCACTGAGGAAGAGGAAGAAAGAGAGAGTGCTTTTAACCATCTTGTTCTACACATGACACACTTCCCTTCTGCTCACATTCCAGTGATTTCGATTTAAAGGCTAAGAAACACAGGGAAGCACATAGAATATTCAGTGAGCAATATCTCTATCACATGAATAAACCATATATTTCAGTGTGTGTGAACCCAGACAAAGGAAAATCAACAAAGCAAATTGTAAAATAATGATATGAATTATGTGGTGATATGTCCACAATTATGTGGTGATTCGTACAAAACTTAGGAAAAAATACATCGATACACCAAATACCAATATTCAGAATAGTGATGAATCCCTGAGGGAAAGGAGAGAGATTGAACTGAGGGTACACAGGCGGCCTCAGTAGTATTAGTAATGTTATTTTATAATCTGGTAGATTATAAGTATTTTCTCCTATTTTTATGCCTTTTTGTATATCTTAAACATATTAAGTTTTTAAGAAACAGTCGGATATTAGAGATGGTATATATGTGGCCACATTAAAAAACAATTACAGCCTGGCTGGTGTAGCTCAGTGGTTGAACCTATGAACCAGGAGATCATGGTTTGATTCCTGGTCAGGGCACATGCCAAGGTTGTGGGCTTGCTCCCCAGTAGGGGGTGTGCAGGAGGCAGCTGATCAATGATTCTCTCTCATCATTGATGTTTTATCTTCTCTCCCTCTCTGAAATCAATAAAAATATATTTTAAGAAAAACCAATTACATATTTTACCATTTTCATTATAATATTTATTAAAGAAGGAAAAAATATATATTGTGATCAAATGAATAATTTTTGCCTCATATTTGTTTTGTAGCTGTTGTTCCATGCACGTTTTTAATTACCAGTGACACTAAAGTTTAAAACAGTACATACTTAAGGTTACTAGATGATGATTTGGGTCTAAATATCCTCAAACATTCTCTGAACATTTCTGTGAAATCTATGTGTGAGTGTCAATTGTTGATTCACAAATGGTAATATCTTTTAACTTGAGTTAATGCGGAGGGGTGAAACTGTGGAAATTAATTCAAAAATAAGGAAAAAAGTCTTTTCATGTACACAGGTAGTACTGATATGCTTAATATTTTATGAAAAACCTATATAGCAACCTCAGAATGATCATAATATAATAAGAGCTAAGAGTTCTTGTGAGCTAAGGCAGGCTAAGGCATTTAGATCTATTATCTCACTATTTTGCCCCACAATATCCTATTTGCCCATTTTTTAAAAAATGTCCACCTTCTCTGATGACTTATATCAATGTCTCACAACCATTTTAACAGAAACTCTTACTGTAAATATAGAGTTTTTACTTTTATTTCACCCTCTGCTTTCATCTTTTGTGAAAAAAAAGAGACAAAATTCTTCTAAAAGAGATGGGCTATATAAAGCAGAAGATGTGAACCTGAAGCCAAGAAAAAGTCTCATGTGGCACCTTTCCTTTGACCCTGGCTCATGAACAAGTCCCCTGTAACACCCCAATCTAAATACAGCTACCTACACAATTTGCAATCCTAAGATCTGGAAACAGCCCAAGTACCCATCAGCAGATGAGTGGATAAAAAAGCTGTGGTACATTTATACCATGAAATGTTATGCAGCAGTAAAAAAGAAGAATGTCTTTCCCTTTGAGACAGCATGGAGGGACCTGGGGAGTATCATGCTAAGTGAAATAAGTCAGTCAGAGAAAAACAAGTATCACATGATCTCACTCATATGTGGACTCTAAGTAACAAAATAATCTGATGAACGGAGTGGATCCAGAGACATGGAAGCATGGAACACAGAGTATGGAATCTCAGGGAAGGTGGGGGAGGGTGGATGGGTGGGAGGTAATCAACCAAGGACCTTGTATGCATATATGCATGGCCCATGGACACTGATAATGGGTGGTGAGGGTGGGGGTCCAGGGGGCTGGGGTGGACTAGAGGTGGTCAATGTGGGGAAAAAGGGGGCATATGTAATACTTCCAACAACAGGAACACAGAGTATGGAATCTCAGGGAAGGTGGGGGAGGGTGGATGGGTGGGAGGTAATCAACCAAGGACCTTGTATGCATATATGCATGGCCCATGGACACTGATAATGGGTGGTGAGGGTGGGGGTCCAGGGGGCTGGGGTGGACTAGAGGTGGTCAATGTGGGGAAAAAGGGGGCATATGTAATACTTCCAACAACAAAAAATTATTTAAAATAAAATAAAATAAATAAATACAGCTACCTAAAAATGTCACAGAGGGCTCTAAATGAGCTTCCCATTTTTTTAACAAGTATGGACTGAAATCAAAATCTTATTAAAAGACTCTCCCATCTGTCTTTTAAATAAGTTCCCATATCATAGAATAGCATAAAATTTGATGAGATTTCTTCTTGATAAAAGTGGAAAAAGTAATTCATGAAAAGCTAATTTAAAGAGACAAATAATATTTAATGCAAGAAAACAAACCATTCTTTGACTCAGTTCTCCCTACTTAAAAATAAAAATAAAAAAATCTTTTTTCTTTTTTGTTTTTAATTTATTTTTATTGTTGACAGCATTACAGAGGTCCCCCCTTTCCCTCTTTGACCTCCACCTGGCCCCTACCCCACCCCACCCCAGGCCTTTAAAAAACAATCCTTGAATAATATAAAACTATTCTTAGCTCCAAGCCTGACAAAGGCAGGCAGTGGGATAGGTTTGACATATGTTTCAAAATAGTTTCACAAGTGTGATCAGTATTTGTTATCCACAATGCAAACCTGTATTGGGAGAGGGAGCCAATTAGAAGATACTAGGAGGATATTGAAAGAGTGATAAAGAGGATATTGGTCTAGATCAGAAGTTAGCAACCTGTGGCCCATAGGCCATATCTGACCTCCTGTGCCTGTGTTTGTAAATATTGTAGTTACCCTTTTAATAATCCCTTAGTTTTAACTGTGGGACCCACATATAAACAGATTTCTTTCAATAAACATATTGGAAAAACTTTTGAAGATTTGTGACAATTTGAAAAAAATTCACAGATGAACTACAAAGCTTAGAAATATTGAAAAATTAAGAAAAACTTACATATTTCATAAATGCATAAAGTATATGTAGATACTAGTCTACTTTATCATTTACTACCATAAAATATACACAACTGAATTATAAAAGGTTAAAATTTATCAAAACTTCCGCACACACTTACAGAATGTACACGGTGCCATTAGCATTCAAGAGACATGTAAACAAACATTACATGTTATTGGTAAGGCTTCTGGTAAACAGTAGTCTATTAAATCGTTACTGCATAAAATTAATTGTAGTACATGCTGTAATACTGTAATAATTTTGTAAACACCTCCTGTTGTTCTTGCGGTGAGCTCAAGTGTTGCGAGTATCCGTTTAAAATGCCTATGATGTTAATCATCTCCACGTGAGCAGTTTGTTTCTCCAGTATATTGCATATCACGGTAAAAATTGACCTTTCACAGTTCTCGCCTATTGTTCGTGTTAATGCAATACCGTAAACCTTGAATAGCACCACGGGACCCAAAAGAAATGCCACTAGTGATGCTGGAAGTGCAACCAAAAAGCAAAGAAAAGTCATGACATTGCAAGAAAAGTTGAATTGCTTGATATGTACTGGAGATTGAGGTCTGCAAGCTATTGTTACCTGCCATTTCAAGATAAATGAATCTAGTCTAAGGACCATTGTAGAAGAAAAGGAAATTGATGAAGCTGTTGCTGCAGTTATACCAGCAGGCACAAAAATCCTGCACTTTTTGTGAAATACCTTTTATCTCATATTGAAAATGCAGCTTTTATGTGTGTGCAGGGTTTCTATAAGAAAGGCATACCTATATACTCTAAT